AATTATAAAAATAATAATCATAATAATAATCATAATAATAATTATCATAATAATACCAATAATAATAGTAATACTAAGTCACAATAATAGTAACAAGAACAGTGATAATAACGGCAAGAATGCAATGATGATAATAGTAATAACAGCAATAATAATAATGTTTGGAAAAAATATATTATAATAATAATAATGGGAGGAAGATGAAGAAAAAGAAGAAAAGGAAAAAAAATCCAGATCAGAAAGACAATAATAGGTATAATCATGATACTGATAACAGTGGCAAAGACAATGATGGCAATGTCAATAACAATCAAAATTATTACTTAAGTTGTAAAGAAAATAATAGCAATGATATTAACTCCAAGAAAGCAACAGGAAGAAATCATATTCCATAACAGATGGGAATTGAAATGATGATTCTAATTTTGAAACTAGTTCCTTCTTACACTGAAGACTCATTGTGATGTCTCAAGAAAAGAATTTGATACAATGGTCCCGAACCTATTACCAGCTCTGAGCAGTTTTTACAACCTCTGAAAAGTTGAGAATTCCACTGGCCTACACATATAATTGCAATAAGATTTTAAAACACTATCTAACATCTTGAAGTTGAAATGGCACACCACTCTTTTATAAAAGCAAACACCTCTCTGATCATTCTCTCAATTCTCTTTTTTTTCAACAAATCAATACTACAAGGTGATTGTACTTCATATGAAACAAAAAAAGTCCTGGTTGTTTGTTATCTCCTTTCTTCAAATGGAAACCTAAAAGTGAAACATCAGATTCCTTAATTACCTCATACAAAATTGCCAAACTTTGTATCAGCATTAACATTGACAACCTGACAGTTTAGGGGTCCTTAAGCATGGCAATGGAATGGTAGCTTCTTCCAGGGTATGCCAAAGACCTTGACAACCAAAGTGAGTTGACCAGAAAAGCCAACCAGCATCAGTGTCACCAAAAACGACATAATTACCAACTGCTTTGCACGGTGAAATGCAAGAAGACTCAGTATCAATGCTCTGAATATTTGCTTTTAGGCAAAAACTGCAACAGACACTTGAAGCAAAACATGTTATTCATTTCAAAAGTAAAGATCTTAAAAACTTTTCAAACACTGTAATAATAACACTAAACATTCCAGAAACAACTATTCTGTTGTGTTTTGAGTGTATTATGCTAAAATAGTACTGAACCTGTATCCACTGCAAACACAACTACTTTGCCAAATAAACTTTTCCTTTAATACTATGAAAACATGCAAAATGGTAAAAAAAATGCACCAATGAAAATGTATATACAAGCAGCATTCTTGGCTAAATACAATGGTACTATATAAACCTCTCAGAACTCTCACATAATGGCACTGTGCGAAGCAATACAAAAAGCATCTTATTCTTTTACCTATACACTCGGCTTGCAAATTTCTAGTCTATACAGTATACACATATTATATTCTCCTTTAGTTTGATTATAATGTTTAATGAAAACCAGAACAAACAGAAAATTGAGCACCCTACTCAAGAAACTATATAGCTATACTGACCTTTTAAAAGATTACTGCCATTTGCTCTTATATGATTTCTCTGCTTAGCAAAATGGTGTGTGAACAATGTATTCAAACTCAACTGACAATCTGTTCTTTGATACAGGCACCTATCATTTCTGACTTATCTATAAAATCTTGTCCCAAAGTTATAGAGCAGATAGCAAGTTGTTCACTTCCTCAGTATTAACTGTTATAAGGCCATCAAATCCTGTATATATTGTCACCATAATATCATAACCCTGCAATACTACAAGTATACAAAAACGACCTAATAAAAAAAATGAGAAACACACAAATTTGCCTTATAAAAGAAATCTTCTCAAAACTGCTTTGACTAAAAGCATAGATAACATTCATAATAAATCAGGTGTCTTCCACTTTTTCTTGCTTTTAGTCTCATGCACATAATGTCTCTATCACAGTAAAAAATAAGCATATTGGTATGCAATCCCATATTGGCAGAACACATCACAATTCTAACAGTTTCCTGGATAAATTATGTCATTTTACAATATGATGTCAGTTCCTGTAAAATGCACTGCAACTTTAAAGAATGCAAAATATCAATGCTATCCTTTACAATAATCTGGTATTGCCACTGATGCCAACTCTACTATGAGAAAAATTTAAACCTGAGCAAGAGTATATATTACTTCCTAAAAATACTTGGAAAGATCCTGTTTACAGGCAATCTTTGCATTTCATATGGAAATAAAGAAATACTGCAGACAGAAATACTGTCCCAAGCTGGTTTAACACTCCTTAACATTTCTGAAAACTGAAGTAATGTTCAAAACATATTCAACACAATCTGCTAAGCAATGCTAGGTGGAACTTAATGTCTATTATCATTCCAGTCATATGGCCTTTTCTCAAATGTTGACACTAAGAATGAGATTCACAATTAACAATCCAATTCACAGTCCAAAGAAGTAATATACAAGCAACATTTATAGCTCTCCAACAGACATGATTATGATACTTTATCATGCAAACTACAATTGCATCACAAAATAATACTCAAAAGCTGTTCTGCTTGGAGATGTTCATTTGTAACTGTATCCTCCACATTAAGAGATATATTCACAGATTGCAAAAAATGTGTCATGGATGTAATTTCAGTTCCAGAACTTTTATTTCCTTGTTAACAGATGTCTGCAAAACCTTTTTCACACAAATCCTATACCCATGGTAAAGTACCTCAACTTACCTAAATTTTGGAGTAAGTACAAACTCACAATTATATTGTTTTTGTCATTAATAATTGAAATGAATCACTGCTAGTGCCTTTACAATTAAATAAAAAGTTGTTGTTCTTATGAACAATACACATAATGGAGCAGTGTTGAAAAATGTTCATTTTAAGCATGACCATGAAAGTCATTAAAACCTGAGTACATGCATCAGTATTTAACAGCACTACTACTTGAAGCTACAGTTTTATCCTTTTCTTTTCCTCTTCTCTTATCTCGAGTAAACCACCTGATTCATATGTGTGGATTTTACATGGTCTGAAAACAACAGCTTTTGATTGTCTAAATCACATTAACTTATCTTCATTATCAGAGAGGTAAGACTGATTAGGAATCATTATAATTACAGTGCAAGGACCATTTACAGTGAACACTCTGGAAAATCCATCACTGCATCAAATACAAATGTTCTTTGAGCACTCACTCAGAAGTCCCCAGGCAGCATGTTATGAATCCCTAAACTTATAAAAGAATATTTTTAGGAAACTTGATATCACTCATTTCTTATTACACATATAATTTTACAATGTTAGCTTTCTGTCCCTTTTTGCCATCCAAATATGTGTGAGCCTCAAAAATTATAAGAAAAGTTTCACATTTGAAACTTTTCCAAAATATTCCAAAATACAAAATATTAGATATTTGCCTCATTCATAAAGCACTTTTTGGGATACTAGAATACATACATATATATAAAAAAAACAGCAATGCACACTGCACAAGCCAAATAAAAACCAGAAGCATCAGATTATCTCAAACTCTTGTCAATGGCTAGAAGCTGCTCAATAACAACAATTCTCTCTTTATGAAGACTTCTGTTAAGAGGAGAGACATTTCCTTTTAAAAATTAGAGAATGACTGTAACAACAATAAAAGTATTTTCAACCAAATTATGTTACTATACATCACTTACTGTTTTTCTACATATGGAAAGACTCATGGCTGACAAGGCTTTAATAACTTTGGTGCATTTATTTCACTGTAAAGTTTCTTAAATCTCTGCAACTACATTAATGGAACTAGGTTGTAAACAGCAGCACTATTGATGTTTCTATTAAAAAAAAGTACAAATAAACTGTTAGACTGATGATGGGTATGTTATTGATTGTCATTCATTTCAGGAGTACATTCTCATAGGTTTTATAAAATGCATAAAGCAGTCTTGTATTTTTCACTCACTAATCGAATACATGTTGTAAAGCAACATAAATCTTATTTGTTATTTGGAGTCTGCCTGGTAACGTTAACAGTAAAGCTGCAATACATGTCTTATAATCTACTAAATCTCATACAATATTGGTATTCCAACTAAGTTTTTTGCTGCTCAGGCCTTCCTTGAAACTCTGTCAGTAAGTGTATATTACTCTTTCTCTGTCCTTTTCATTTTTTCTTTTCTTCTTCTAGGAAAGATTCACTTTTGCACTGGGATTTTGCACACTCGTTCCTTAATAATAAAAACGGCACAGGGGAGCCAAAATGTTCAAACTAAATATATTTCATCACACAGAGAAGATAATATAAACTGTAGGTTTTCAGTATGTAGAAGCCCTTTATATTTCCTACTACAACTTTTTCTTATATTTGGTCTGCTTCTACTAGGCTCAACTTTTGTTGTTGATAAAAAGTAATCTTGCCTACAAACATTTTTAAAAATACAAGCATCTATCTTTCTTACATTCAGCAATGTCAAAAAAGTTTAACAAGGGCAAAAGAATGTCCTGACCCTGCCCCAATGACCTGCAAATTCCCAGGCACCTGAATTTTTGCAGGGCGCAGGGCATTAGTTGTTGTTCCATCTCCGCAATTTCCATGTTCATTCCAACCCCAAGTGAAGAGGGAGATGCCATCCCCAGGTCCTTCGATCATAGCTAGGTTGTGTTCAGAACCACATGCTACTCCTTTAACACGCTTCTTGAACCTTAAGCAGCTTGGTATATATCTGAAAAAAAGGGAAAATTAAAATTCTGAATACGTTTGAAATTCTTAAATCAATTTTTAAATCATGGTCAATGACGCACTTGACGGATTTCATTGAATGTACAGACAAATACTTGACTCCTTGTATCCGGTTACTTTTCGGCAATCACGTGGAACAAAATACAGGTATTAGGCTTATATGAACGGCCACTCTGCCGGGCACATGTGAACACTCGTGTGTGGTGACAAGACTCTATGCCTCTCCTGTGTAATATTAT